TGTATTGAAGGGGCTGTAGCAGAAGTGCTGTCAGTAAATATGTCCATCTCACTGTCCATGTGCAGGAGAAAGAGGTGACCATCACCAAGCCCAATGGAGAGACGTCAGTGGCCACAGTACGCATCTGGAATGAGACAGTGTCCAACCTCACCCTGATGGCGCTGGGCTCCTCTGCACCGGAGATCCTGCTGTCTGTCATAGAGGTAGGCTCTCACTCCTCCCTCACTTACTAGCTCTCTCCCACTTACTCCACTATCTCACCCCTCTGCTCTCACTGTCTCACCCCACTGCTCCCTCCAGCTCACTCCACTGTCTCACCCCTCTGCTCTCTCTCTGAACGTGTTTTGAACGGGCTTCGGAATTACCGTTACCCGCGTAGCAAGTGTTTTGTTTTATGTAGATGAGTCATTGCATTGATAAGGTGGTTGGAAATGAAGGACCTGTGCCCCCAGAGAGCCGAGGGCACTCGTGTTGGACTCTGACTGTGTCCCCTGAGCTGTGTGACAGTGCCTGGCGTTGTTACAGCTGGCTTGAGAGGACACGAGCAGGCAGGCCTGTGCTTCAGAGTGGGGGTGTCTCTCGATGCCTCTCAATCAGCTTTTCTCAGGCTGTTTTCTGGGGAGCAGGTGAGTCAGACATGCTAAAGATAGATGCGTTACCATGTGGATCACAGCAAGCAGGGAATCATCTCCAGAGAGGTGCGTTCGGGAAGAGCCCTGAACCGGGCTCCACAGCTGCTCCGTGGGTTCTGTTTCCAGAGTCGCCCCTTGTGCACCGTGTGAGTGGGGCGCTGCTGCAGCGAGGGGGTGTGAGGGCCTGTGGCCCCATCAGCTGTTCAGAGCTTCGTGGCCACGTGTGGTGCCGTGTCTCTCACGTGCCTTTGCTGACAGGTGACCCCCCTCAGGCCAGGCGCACAGACCAGCTTCTCCACTGCGGTGTCCCACTGTCTGAATTACTCAGTGTGTTACCCCTCCACACATTACCCTGATTTCACTGTGCTTTTGCTAAGATTTCACTGCACTGCATTGTTCTGCCTTTACTGCTCTTACCGTGTTTTTTACTTTGGTCTCACAGTGCTACACTGCACTGGACTGTGTTTTCCTCATGATGGGGCTGTATTGCACTGTCTTCCCTTTCCGGAGGGATGAGTTTGTTTGAC